AGAGAAACTAGCCTAGCAATACTAGATTTCAAACTATATTACAAAGCAGTAATCATCAAAACAATCCAATACTGGCTAAAAGATAGAGCTGTGAACCAGTGGGAACTGATTAAGTACACAATAGACAGTAGTAAATAGCCATCGTGATCTAGTGTTTGATAAAACCAAAGAGCCAAGTTTTTGGGACAAGTTTGACAAAAACGGCTGGCAAAATTGAGAGCATTTTGGCAGAAACTAGGCATAGACTAACATCTCACATTGTATACCAAGATAAGGTCAATGGATACATCATTTAGACATAAAGAGTGATACAGGTCCCTATCCAAGCACCACTTAATGGTTATTGTTTGGGTCCTGACGGATCAGAGTGAATGTAAATAGTAATTGTTTCTCTTTTGGCCAGAAACTCCAAGGGCTAACTTTCCCAGTTCAATTTTTTTGGGGGAGAGAATTAAAACCTTGACTCACTTCTTAAACTGCCCTAATCACAGAATGGCCATTGCCTCAGTCAAAGTGAGAACTCAGAAAGACCATAGCTTATAAAGGTCCACTGCATCCTGGGTCATCTCCAGTTGTCCTGATCTATATCTGGCCACTGGACCCAGATGGCTCCAGAGGAGAAAGTGAGGTTGTTGACTTTGTGCAACCCTTCCTCACTTAAAACCAATTCACTTGCAAGTCATGGCATCATCTTCCTGATGTCATGGTCCTCTTCAAAAACAAAGCACAAACCACAATTATGCCAAGTACTCTCATAACAGTCAAGTCAAATAAAGAGATCCTTCACATTCAAGAAAAATCAGTGTGGGCCCAATGAAATCAGACAACACTCCTCAATATTTTAGTATTGTAATGAGGTAGCATACGTCAAACTCTTTGAAAACCTTAAAGCACCTTACAAATGCTAGCTGTTATTGCTAGAGGCTAGAAAGCTGATCTTGACATTGAGATGTCCTGACTCTAGTAAAGTTTCTAACATATTTCCTTTGTGACCATGGGCAGGTCCTTAATCTCTCTGTGTCCCCAATGGACAAAAATCACTAAGATTAAAATCACAGGGGAACTGCCAATCTGCATCAGTGAAGGGAAATTTCTTTGCCCAGATTTATATAAGCCAGTGAAATTCCAGATATAGCAATTTTTACATAGTGTATATCTCTATTTTAAACATGTCTTATAATTCCCACTATTCTTCCACGATTGGTTTTCATGGACAACACTTTGGGGGGAAACTTTCTATATACTATTGTGCCAGTGGATAAGCATTAAAAGGGCAAAGTCTGTATCCTTGTCTTCTCAGAATCCCTCACATGGGCTATCAAGTGCTTTGCCCAGGTCCATAATGTTCAAAAAACTCCTCACCTTCCATGTAAATGTGCCTTTCCTTGCAGTCACCCCAGATCAATCTTTGCAATCTTCTTCCCTCTTCCTCTCTCTCTACATCAACTTGCTAAGTCCTGTTGATACCAAAAACTTATCTACTGAATCTGTCCACTCAGGCACCAGTCTGGTTCAAGCCTTTATTTCCTCTCAGACTACTAGAGGAAACCTTCTAACTGATAACCTCACTGTAGTCCAATCTTCACATAAGCTTCTGGAATAATCTTCCTAATGAGTAAGGGTACTCAACAGGATGTACTCAATAAATGTTAAGCAAATTAATCATCCCTGAAGAAGCCAAATAATACTTGTCATTCTTGGGAAGTCCATCAAATAGCAAGTGGGGATTTGATGGAATGTTTATTTTTACTGCTTTCAAAGTAAAAATATTAATAATTAGCTAATATTAATTAGTGGTAAAGGATTATATTTTATTAGACTGGTGATGCAGGGGAAATTATAAGAAAATTAGGATAATTACCAAAAAGGGAGAGTGATGTATGTTAATTGTAACTTTTGTGAGTCAAACAAAATTTAAGCAAATTAAATAGTTTTTGAAAATTACCTTTAAGGCTCCCAATCCTTTCATTTTACAAATATGGAAACTGAGACCTAATAAGGTTAGGTGATATGATCAAGGTCGCACATGCAATAAATAATGGAGCTTAGATTTTATCCCAGGTCCTCTGACTTTAAATCTTGTACACTTTCTACTACTCTACAAAATTCATTGGATTTAGAGCTGAAAGTGATTCAGATGTCATTTATTCCAACCCTCTTATTTTACAGATGAGGAATTTGAGGCCCAGATATTTTGTGATTTGTCTACCGTCACTAAACTAAAAAGTGGTGGAATTAAGATTTAATCCAAGTCCTTTCACTTCTAATATGCCATGTTCTCTCAGATTCACTACCTTTTTAATTACAAAATCATAGGTCTCAAGACCTCCCTGATGGTATCCTCAACAAAAATGGTACTCATCCATAAGGACCTTATAGTCTAACGGTGGCAGGAGAAAGGTATTGGGAAGTGGGGGAAGGGAGATGGACTCAGAGGGAAAGATAATAGGTTCTTTTTTCTTTTAACATATTGAGTTTGAGATGCCCATGGGACTCCTGGGTGGATATGTACAGCAGGCATTTGAAGATATAGATTTTAAGCTTAGAAGAGAGTTAAGAGGCTAAATGTGTGGATCTGGTCATCATCTGAAAAGAGATAATAGTTTAAAGCTTGAGAGATGGTGAGATCACGAAAGGAGTGACAGACAGAGAGTAGGAAAAGGTTTAGAGTCAAATCTGTGAATGTTCTATGTGTATTTGGTCAGGATGGGGGAGGGGGAAAATATGTTCTCTACATTTTCCATTCAATTTTCTGTGTCTATTACAGTTTTTAAGCACTGTCTTCAAGTCTATAACTTCTTTCTTACTTTTCTTTCTGTATGATCCAGGAAGAATGCAAGTTTCTTTTGGACAAAGACTTTCATTTTCTGTCTCTGTATCCCAAAGGTCTGGCACACAGTACTTTGTACACTGTAGATACTTAATACATGTTTATTTAATTTGATTCCATGCTATATGAATATGAACTATCCAAACTGAAGACTCTCTGTTGTAAAGACTAGAGAGAAGTTTGTGTTTGCTATAGTGGTTGCCAAAAATTATTTAGACCAATCTGTAGATTATTTCACCTTATTCCTAGCTCACTTCAACAAGTATTCATTAAGCAACTACTATATACAAAGTACCATGACAGGCACTGGGGATACAAACACAAAAAATGAATGTCTCTGCTATTAAGGAATTTATAACTACAAATGCTGTATGGAAATAAAGGAGATAAAGGTGGCAACTCCAAGATGGAATCTATTGATACTACTCAAAAATTCATTCCCATAGCTATAGCATAAATTCAAATCCCACCTATAATCCTATGGAATAATGTACACTTGTTCCAAATCTGCTCATGTGATCTCAGATATGTCAAATTATTTTTGTAACTTGTTGCAAAAAAACTAAAAATCATATCATGAATCAAAGTGACATTGTTTCTTCTTCAAAATGAATTTCCCAACCTTTTTGATGCTAAGGAAACGGCATACAAGTAGGGGAAGCTCTTAGAATAGATAGTGGGGATCATCAGCACTAGTTGAATGATGGGGAGAATGGAACAAATGCTTAGGTCTCTTACTGGATGCCCCCAAAGGGCCCTACTACAAATGGGCTAAACCCTTTGTTTAGATCCCCAACAGCTAGAAAGCATCAGAGTTGCCAGAAAATGCTAGTAATTCATCTCTGAACCTGTCTTCAGAATCCAATTCATACCAGGAACAGTAATTAAATCATTTTTCTAATATAAATGAGATAGGAGGTATCTAGACATGAGGCGCCAAAAATTGCAACACATTTCTCAGACCTCCAAGGAAACTTTCCACTGTGCTATGGGTAAGAGACTAAGAGCAGCATCAGGACCTTAAAAAAAATCTAGTACATATTGTTTTAAAAAAACAATTAAAAACCAAATTAAATATTCATAGATAGATAGACAGATAGATAAGACAGTTTTCCTTCGCTGCCAAAAATTCTGAGCAGACTTCTCCTCTCTATTCTCAGAAGGGACAGGTATTTTATTCTATTAAGTCCCTTTTTATCTTATTTTCTACCTTCTCCTCTTCACTCCTATGATTTCAACTGCCCACTGGAGACAACACTCCCATAGCATTGTGATAGGCACTGTGAGAATCTCTACTCAAACTGGAAAACAACCAAAAAGATAATTTCTGTCCATCTTCCAACAAAGCCCTCACTTTCTGGGTATCTCTTATCATCTTAAAATTTAATATATTCTACTATAGCAAACTTTCAGGTGCTACAAAAAGAATAAACATAGATAAAGATGAATTATAATATAAAGTTGAAGTTTTAAAATTAAAATAATTCAATTCATTTCTTTAAAGAAATATTTGTGAAATTGACCGGAATTAGGTTACATTTATAGGAATTAGAAGATGTTATATTAAGCCTTTTATTAAAGGTTTCAAATTACTTAATGATAGTCATGATTGTATCTGCAATTCATGAATATATAGATTATTTGGTTTTCCGTGTATATACATGAATGTGTGTGTGTGTATACACACTCATCTGTTCACAAGCAGTCTTATAAAACACACTCATCGAAAACATTTCATACAGTGGTAATGTTTTGGGTTGTGTTTTTTTTTAAATAGCATATAAATGTCAACTTAATTATATAAAGTGAACTTAATAACACTAACCTTTAAACATGACTAGACAACTGAAAGATAAAGATTGCTAATCCCAGAGAGATCAATTCTATGTGTGTTTGTGCTGGTATTTTCCTTATTTTAATAAGTTAAGGGGGAAAAAACAAAAACATAAGCCTAGTCCCTTTATCAGAATTTTTCCTGGATGTGTGGGTGAGGAAAAGAAGAAAAGGAATTTAAAGAAAAAAAAAAACTTGATCCTTTGAGCAAAGTGAAAGTCTCTTTATAGGACGCAGAATATTAATTTTCACAACAAACATCCAGAAGCTTTATACCCTCATTAACTTGCTCTTTCAGCATTTTAAAAAGTCATTATATTTATGGGATTCCTCCTACCTGCCTCTGAAGTTCTGCCAGGTTGTAAGGTAAGGCACCTTCGGCCAACGGTGCTATTCTCTCAATATCTGCCAAAGTCAAACGCCTTCAGGTGAGAACATAGAAGAGAAATAATTGTTAGATTAAACAACAAATATAAACCAGTGGAGAAAAAAAATCTTTACTTACTACAGCACAAAAACAAACAAAACTTTCAATATAAACAATGGGGAATTATATCATAAAGGGCCTTGCTTTAGAAGAGACCCTAATGAAGTATATCATATATTATCAAGGTTCTGCATATAGTAGGTGATTAAGGTTTGCTGAATCAAGCTGAATTTATGTTAGAAATCAACATAAAGACATTATTGTATTAAGCCTATTATTGCAAGAGTCTATTTTGCCAATCACTTAAAACAGAAGTGTTAAACTTATGGCCCCTAGCCCATGTAGTCCAAAACTTCTGAGTGTTGTCTAAACCAGATTAAAATGTCATTGGGAAATGTTTATCAGAAGAAAAAAATACAATACAGTATAGATAATATTAATTCGTGATTTTCTAAGTCAATATTAGGCCTAGGTTTCTAATTAAGTTTGACTGTACTGACTTAGAAGACCCTTTTAAGTCATTCTTTGAGAAGTACCATTTTTTGTGCTCAAGGTATCTTAAAACATTAGACTCACAAAAACAAGTTTGTAGCAGCTCTGACGTCCACAGAGCAGAAAGATAAATTACATTTATGCAGGTGAAAAAGAAGACTGAGAACTACTGATCTAGAAAAGACTTTAAAGATACTCTAGCCCATTTTATAGCTAAGAAAGCTTAGATTCAGAATCCTTAAATGACTTGCCCAGGATCACAATGACAGATGATGACAAAGCCTATACTAAAACCCAAGTCTCACAACTTCCAGATCAGGGCTCTTTCCATTGCATGCTAATAGATAAATAGCAACTATCACATCTCTTGCCTGACCATTCTGTCCTTCTGAGGCAACAGATTACATGTATACACAAATCTCAGGGGAGAATTCATGTTATTCCACAAATCCTAACATCAGGTCCTACTTTTTATATTGAGTATCCAAAAATAAACCTAACTAAATTATCTTTGGGATAAGAGAATTCTGCCTGACTAAAAAATTTCAAGCTGACTTAATTTTTGTGCCTTTTCTAATGAGAATTAAAATATATAGCACTTCTGTGGATAAAGGGCCACTAGGTATGAGCAAGAGAGGTTCACTTTCAAAAGTTAGAATATTTTAATAGGATATAATTCCTTTATCCCACTGGGATTTGAACACATTTTACTTCTAAATCCTTTGGTGCCTTGATAAGTCACACAACATTACTGTAGTTTGGTTTCTGTTGCATGTAAAATATTGTCTGCCTCCACCTCAAAAACGAGTTAATGTTTCATAGGTCCTCTGAGAGAACAATGAACACATGACCACTCATCATAGAAGATTCACTCTTCTTTCAATAAGGGTCAACTTCCAGAGATACCTTATTTATAACGCCTTCTGATAGTAAATCTATAATACTTTCTTCCTTTCTTCAGCACAGACTAGAATCCAGAGGTTCCAGTCCCAACTCCACTTCTTCCTTGTACTTCATCCCCTAAAGGATGTGCAAAGTCTTAGAAAAGAAGACCCAGTCCATCAGAATAGAGCTCCTGATTTCTCTCTTTATGGACACTTGGACAACAACTTAGGTACAAGAGAAGCAGACAACTGAATCCTTAATTCAGCTCACACCCACTCAAGTTCTACAGACCATTATTTGCTTTCACATAAGATATACAACCAACATCTATATAGAGTTTTAAAACTGTTGCCTTATAAACTAAATATCCTATTATAGGAATAGTTACCCAGTAGCATTGTACAGGTCGGCAAGCTGGTACAGAATATCAATTTCCAATGGTGTAACTTGTCCATATCTTATTGCACTTTGGGCAAATTCCTCTGTGCAGGGAACAAGATAAATAGTCTTTAAATTTGCAGTGCACATACCACACTTTTACTTTAAATTAATGCAATCAAGAAGCCAAGGGTATACTGGACTTTGAATAACAATAACCAAAACAACCAACACTATATCTGAATTTAAACATTTACACATATATATACACACAGAGAAAAATACATTGTTTTCCTCCTCAAATATTTCTAGAACTGATGGAATCTAAATGCAGATTGAAGCATACCTTTTTCTTCTTTCTTTATTATTCTTGGTTTTTGGGTCTGTTTTCTTTTGCAATATGGCTAATATGTAAATATTTTGCAGGACTGCACATGTACAATCTATATCAAATTGCTTGCCATCTCAAAGAGGGGTGAGGGGAAAGAGGGAGGGAAAGAATATGGAACTCAAAATTTAAAAAATAATGTTAAAATTTTTTGTTTACATGTAACTGAAAAAAATTAAAATTAAATCAAATATTCCTAAAGAATTTTAGATACCTCCTTTCCCCACCTCCCCAACCTTCCTACCTTTTATTTTACTTATCTGTGTATGGATTCTTCTTGGAATCCCTTGCTTCTTTCAAGGCCTAACTCAGGTAACACCTGAGGTCATTTCTCACCCCAATCTACCATTGTTAGTACTCTCCCTCCACCAAGAAATAACTTCGTACAAATTGTATTACCCCAGCAGAATGTCAACTCCCTGAGGAAGGACTGCTTCATTTTTGTCTTTATACCCCCTGTGCCTAGCCTAGTGGGCACTGAATAAATATATATTGAATTATATATGTCATATCCTCAACTTCCTCCCCAGTAGAATGTAAGCTGCACAGGGTCTGGGACTGTTTGCTTTCATCTTTGTTTCCCAAATGTCTATCCCAGAACTGATACTTAATAAGTGTCCGTTGAACTAAAAGACCCAAACATCTATTAAAGAATTATTTGTGCAGTACCAAATTACCACAAAAACGAAAAATGTTACCATGATGGAATTATCAAAGTCAAACAGCATCAAGCTAAAATTCTTTCTTTATCATGCTCTTTGGTTTCAAGAGTCACAGGTAAAAATGACTAGCTCTTTTCCACTCATCTAAGTCTCCCTAATAGAATTTTAAAAAGAAATTACCTTCCTAAGACACAATAACAAGGCAATAGTCACTGCTGCCCACCATGCCACCATGACTCTTTCAAATCCTTAGTTCCATCCACAGACCTGACACCCCAGTCCAAACATTTTGCTCTTGCAGCATCACTGCCCTGCTTCACAGCTTAGCCCAAGGTTCCTTTCAGAGCCTTGCCAGCTCCTTTCCTCCATTCCTCACCATTACTATCTCATTAAATTCCTCTCTGGAGATACATGTGGCCTAGGTGGGGCATGCAGTTTACCTGGGAGAGCACAGACTCTCCCAAACCTCACATTAAGATAGTAAACTTAAACCATTTTCTATGGAAGACTAAATGGAAAATGTAAAGACATTAACAACAAAAAACAATAAAACTTACCTTTTGTGACTTCAACATCTTTCCTTGTGCCAGCTAGAGTGCTGTATATCTTACGAACAAGTTCCATGTTATTCAGTAGGGAGTTAAATGCATTGAAGTAAGAAAAGCTAACCTGGTGGGCAATACTTCCACCAGCCGCCTAGAAATGAAATGACATAGGAAAAAAAAATGCATTTTCAACAGACTTGGACTCTGCTTGAAATTGATCGTTCTGCTGAAAAGAACTAATCCATAAGGATAAGGAATTTGTCCTGCTTTAAAAAAAAAAAGGCAGGGGGAGGGATGGGGAGAGTTCTCTTGCCCTAAGGGGAACCCTTTGCATTTTAGACTTTAAGGAATAAAGGCAACATTAGGCAGCTGAACTTCATGGTTCATCTGTAAGGTCAGAACTAGCAAATACAATTCACAATATGGGAAAATCACTTCCGTTAAAACATTTCTTGGCTAGCACTCATCTACAGAACTACTTGTCTGCTCTAATCCAACTAAACTCCAGTCTGCTGACCTTCAGGGAACAATCTAAGTAGCATCTTATAAAATGCTTTTCTTCACATTAATACATTTTTTCAAGATTTTAAGGCTTTTAAAAACAATATTATCCTACTTTTTAAAAGAAAGACTATTGCTATAATTTTATCTTAACATCTTAATTCTGCACTTAGGTCCTAAAACATAGAATAGCATTTAGAACTGGAAGAGACTCAAACACATGCCACACTTTCCAGCTTTGGAGTGGGGGAAACACTCTCTGTTTCTATCATTCGAAGCTCAGCTCAAAAGCCCAGCATGACCTGGGCTTGTTGCTCACCCTTCTTTCTACTTAGAACTTATGTATCACCTTGTTCGTATTATATTTTGTTTTATTATTTGTGTCTCTTCTAGTATGATCTTCATAATTTTATGGACAAGGAAAGCAAAGTCAAGGTGAGATTAAAATGACTTGCCTCAGGTCATACAGGTAAGTAACAAGTAGAGCCAGGATTCAAACTCAGATACTCTGACTTCAAATTCAGTGCTCTTTTCCCTGCTCTAAGTACATTAATAATGCTGTGAAGTATGATTACAAAATTTTTTTAATTGGCAGGGAGAAACACTTGGCCAAATTTTCTACCTAGGCTCTACAGAGAATTACAGTATGCCCTCTGGATTAAGAGAAGGAAAAACCTTCATTGTTCTTGCTGAGTGAGATGACTTCCCCTATACCTACCCACTTTATAAACCTACTTCAGGTTTATAAAAGCCTGAATTACAAAATGGATATACACCAAGATTGACTGTGTTTTAGGAGCAAATATTCTAAATTCAAAGGGATGCTTACAAAGCCATTAGGATAATTGTTTTTATCCCAGAAACTAATGGTGAAGAGAAAAAAGCACAAGTAACTGCAACACAAGTGTCTCCCATGTTATCCAAAAGTGCACTTGGACCCAAATTGGAGGCCATCTCTTCAACGTAGGTTGAGGCACCAGTCATATACCTAAAGGACCTGAATGACTTAGATCCAAGGGGTACTGGGTGACAAGTTCCAGTAGCTTTCAAGCTCTGGATCTCAAAGAATTCTAATTCACAACCAAGTTGGAAGTTAAATGAACTGCTTACTGAAAGTGTTTCCTTGCCCCAAAGAATCAAATCATTCCCTTGGGAGCCTTCCCCTCCCCCTCTTTTCTTTGTTTTGGGGGACAGAGGAGGGGATGGTGTAGAATATGTAAGAAGTGACACGTATCCTGTTCAAATTCACTGGAGAAAAAGAACAGGAGTTGATCTTTCTACCCCAGTGTAAAGCAAAGATAATGACCTACAGCTGAAACAACAAAAGGCCTCACTGGCCTCTCTCCATGTAAAACAAGCAGTGATCAAAAGTACACATATGTATAAGGCATGCACAAGAAAACAGACAAGTGAGGGAGGGTCACTTCAGAGGAAGTGCCTGAAAATCTAACATGTTCAGCTACTTGCAATTTATGTGAAAATGAGTCTAAATCTATTTCTGCATTTAAAACCAGACAGGGAAAACTTGATCCATGAATAATTCAACTGGCTATTTTTCAGAGCTTGGTAGTTTAACAGAATAATGAGCAACGTCTAGACCATAGAAGGGCTCTGGGTGCCATTTTTGGCATACGAAATAGCTAAATAGCACATAGAGGGAAGGACAAGGGTAAGAGGTATGGGTCAATGCCACACTGCTACCTCCATGAATGTAGGCTTTCCTAACTCAATATATCTTCTGCTGTGACCACAGAGGCCAAATGAAGGTAAGCAGAAGACACACTGTCCCTACACTAACAAATATTGGAAACAGAGCTCCAACATTTGGGCTTCAATAGGTCTAGTGAAGTAGTGGTGGCCAAAGGAAGGGAAGAAGTAAGGAATGTGGTCCACTGAGAAAAATAATTTGACTCCCTAATCTACAGCCACATTTGCTTCTTCCAAACCAAGAGTTAAAATAGGAAATAAAGTTTTAGAAGTTCATATTATGTTATTACCTCTTACATAGACTCTTACAATAGCCTAACTAGCTAATCTCTCCCCATTCTAATTCATTCTACATAGCATTGCCAGAACAATTGTTGATGCTTCTCTGACAATCATTCACTATTCTCCACTGTCTACTACACAAATTGAACTATTCACTATCCCCCCAAATTTCTTACTCTAAAGTCTTTGTTCATGCCATTCCTTCAACTCTATCCACCATTTAAGGCTCAGCTCAAATGCCCAATACTACCACTCTTGTTCCCCAGCCTTCTCTACTCTTAGAACTCATGTATCACCTTGTTTGTATTATATTTTATTTTGTTATTTGTGTATCTTATCTCTCCTACTCGATAAGTTCCCTGGGGGCAAGAGACCACATTTTATTTATCTTTGTAAATATGTAGTAAGGAGAAAGACCTTGCCCACAATAGGCACTTAATAAATATTCAGTGATTGAATGAAAGAAAAAAAGGAGAAAAGAGTGAGAGTAAGATGTTAGCTTTAAATAGTGTCCTGTAGCTGAAACAACTTTACAGGCAATGGAGAAAGCACACCCTTGCTGTTTAGCAAGCTGTGCTCTGTAAGAACTGAAGTGAATAGGAGTTGGGTGGTTCAGGGTAAAGGAATGCAGGATTCAAAGGCAGTGACTTTATGAGACTTAAAAAACCAGAGGTAAGTGTTAATCAATGTCATGTAATGCCTACAAATAAATTTATATGGGGTTTGGAGAGCAAAGTACTTCATTCAATCCAATAAACATCATTAAGTATCTACTATGTGGTAGGTACTATGATAAGCACTGGGGATACAAATAATAAAAAGAAAGACAGTCTCTGCCTTTAAGGAGTTTATAATCTAGAGAGGGAGGGGTCTAGTAGCGAAAAGGCTGTAGCAATTAATCTTCTTTTATTTCCCAATTAAAGGGTATGTTTATCAACATTGGAACAACGTGCTTCCATAAAGCAACGTTTTTCCCCTATATCCAAGAAATTAACACATAATCCATTATTTATGGGTTATCCAGTGCTCTACACACACAAGCCTTAATTTCCATGTAAGGAAATCTGGACCTAAAGGGCTTAGCAGGTCTAGTCTACACTTGGAAATCACAGTAGACTATTCATCAGAGTACCTGGCATAGAGGCAAAGAATTAAGGCTGTAGATGAGGAAGCATTCTCTTGAACTACATTTCCATCCTGAGAAAATCAAAGTACTTGCTTTTTACTTACTGAAACCAAGTTTTCCTCCACAAAAGGAGTGAGCATGTGGGACCGAATAGTAACCATAATGTCATTGAAATCTAGTCCAGTGATCACTCCACTTTTGCTTTTATCTTTCAGGGCAAAGGCTTGCCTTGCATGTTCCAGCTGCAGCTCCTATAAGAAATAATTAGAAACAGAACATTAAATTGGCCTTAAAGTACATGTCATTAGCATATGTTGCAGGAGAAAAGGGAGTTTCTTTCCAGACACAAGCCGACAACAGAAATGAACAATGAACAGCACTGTGTTTACAACAAAGCTTTTGATTTTTTCTTCCTAAGAGGCATGCTTTCTTGCAAATGTACTACATATTTTTTTAAATGTTCTACATATTATTCCAGAGGAGAAATGATGAATCAGAGCAGTGCAATATAGAAAAGAGAAGGAAAAAAATTAGAAGAACCTTCAGATTTTACTTGAAAAGTATTCCATGCTGAAAATAAACTGAGTATATTTTCAGCTCTTTATTTCAGCTTTAAAATTATGTTGTAATTTATTCTCTCCTACTTGGAAGTATCCTTGTCTTCCATAAGTACTTCTTGAAATAATGGTTTAGGTTCATTTGTGGCTTTCCAATGCTAAATGTTACAATCAAAGCTTCTCTCTCTTGCTAAATGAATTAGAGATAATTTCTCAAACAATTTTTATTTCAAATGAATTCAATGAGAAAAGCCAGCAACTAGTTACTTTAATCTTTAGAACTTCAGACTTAAAAACTGTCTTAAAAATTTCATCTCTCATATTTAGCTGTAATCTTGTCTTGCCTGAGTCATAATCAATAATAGTATAATAACCAGTAATTTTTCTGAACTTTTTTCTACAACTAAACTTTATAACGCATCAGTAGTATTACCAATAAAGATCTGGCCACCAATAATGCCCTGGATCATACAGAACATCAACTTGGATGGTTCCTTCCTTTTTGGCCTACAATGTGATTCATAGAAACTAATCAGGACAATAGAATAATAGTGCAATTAGGTGTTGTTTGCATGAAATTACATGGAAGTAATGGCCAATATCTAAATATGTATGCATTGCATTAAATATAAGAATAATATTATACTTTTCATTAGTAATTTCTCTATAAATACAAAACCAACAAACTTTACTGAGAAGAGTCCTTTGTAAACCTTTGCAAAGAGTATCATGTGCATATATGCTATTATCATTATTCTTAACAAAAATAACAACCACCATTAATTCTGGATGGAGAAAGGCACTTAAAGGAGATCTTGACAGAAATCTCACCTTTATTACTAACTTATTTCTTATTTTCTTTCTATCACTCCCAAGAATTTACTATCTTCCTAGCTAATCAAGCCATTAAGTTGGGATTGATAGTTCAGAATGCTGATATTTGTCCCCAGACATTCCTTTAAAAAAAAAAATCTGATCTATTTGTAAAGACTGAAAAAAAAAATTCAACATTAAGGCATGTTTAGATTTGCTTGTCATTTGCAAAACAGCATTTAGCTCAGGAAACTGAAAACCCAAACAATAAGCCATATGGACTCATTGCAAATGACAGTACAGAATAAACCACCTGCATGCATTTGCAGTCTTCACTTCCCCCACTCTACTCCAGTCATTTCCCCCCAACAGCCTCTAGAAAATGAAGGAGTCTTAGCCGGCACTTGGTCCTACTGGATGGTTTAATGAAAGCATTTGCTTCGAAGCAAGAGAACAATATACACAATGACTACAATTATGTAAATGGAAATAACACTAAAAAGGCAGCTGAACTCAGATGAATTGAAATGAACAATCTTGATTTCAGAGAAGAGAAATGAAACCCCACATCTCTCCTCTCATTAAAAGGTGGAAGACTACAGGTACAGAATATTACAAACACCTTTAGACAGGGATGTGTTGTTAGTTGATCTGGCTTAACTAGATTCAATGGAGCAGTTATATTAGGAAACTGAATGACAACAAAAGTCATCAATGTAACATATTTTATAAAGTATTTGCCATGAGTGCATTTTGGAAAGCTCAGCAGTGACAGGAAGTGGGGAAAATTTCATCTCCTTTGCTCCACATCAAGGTAAAACCTACACCTAACACTTTAAAATGCTGGGAGTAAATATGCACCTATCACATAAAGAGCATATGAATGGCACTTGACATTTCCTGACTATATATACCTTCCACCTCATCTTTTTCTCTCCTTTTTTTTCTCTCCCTACTCCCCAATTCTCACTGCCTATGCTTTACAGGCTCCCCATCTCTGCTTTAGGACTTCATGAGACAGTCAGTGGCAAGTATGTCAAAGACTTAGGAGTTAGATAAATTTATTAAACATCTCATTAAAAAAGGCCTTTAAATGGTCAAAAATGTTCAGATCTATTTCTTCGATGAATACTGTCAAGTGAGCAGGGTACATTGATGAGGAAATGGGACTACACTACAATAGAACCCCAAAACCTAACCTCACAAAAAGAAAAATATTCTCCTCCCAAACCTGCAGCAATGAGAAAGGCGAGAGGTTTGGGCAAATGAAAATAGACTCGGAGGTGCTCACCCACCTCCTTTGTTGAGGAAACAAACTAGAAGAGAGGAGATAGATAGCAGAGAACCCTACTAACACTGAAACCACTACTGGGAGTTGAGGGTGATGGTTAGGGAAATTAAAAGCACAGGAGAAAATAGGATTGCTGTTATAGGTAGCTTTTGGTGGTGGTGGTGGTGGTGGTGGTGGTGGTGGTGGTGGTAGTGGTGGTGATGATTGTGGTCGTGGAGGAGGACAGGAAGATGCCCACCTGGGATGATGTTTGGCCTTAGTTCCTTATCAAGATCCATTATTTTTTACTGCCAGTATACTATAACCTCTTACACAGGTATGCCCAAGAGAATAGAGAAGAACTGAGAAAGTGCTACGAAGGTCACAGCTGTCATAGACCACCCCTTTACTATCTGTTATACCTCAAGACCTCCACTATATAAGACTCTCCCCAGGGACAAACACAGCTGAGGAGGAACACAACACATCAATAATGTTATACAGGTAACCAGACTTCCCATAGGTGCATTGCCTTACTACAAAGTTTTCTTCCTGATGTTAACCTGGTCAGTTCTGTGGTATAAGGACCAACATTTTGTTCCTAAGTCCAGAAGCTGAGATAGCTCTTCTTTAATTAGTCAGCTAAATGCAATATCAGAGGGGCAAGAGGAGATACTGCTCCTGTCAGGATTACTGACAAGAGCTGCTGCCTTCCCACCTCACAGATCAATTGGTTTACTTACGGATAGTGACAGTATCATGTCCCCTCTTCCCCCGCCCCCAGACTCCTTGCTAAGTCACTCAGTTTCATCACCACCCCGAGTCTTTCATGCCCAGGCTTTACCAAGAGCATTGTTGCAACAGAGAATCCTCAGAGAGGTTAAGTGAATTGATTGCAGTCACATAGCTGGCGTCATGGCAATCTAGTGACCAGTATTCCTTTAGTTTTGTGGTGGCATCAGAGTTATAGAGGCTATTCACTGTCACCTTAGAAGTGAAATGGAAGGCTGTCACAGCTCTGTTTTCATGGAGTGCACAAACTCAGGAATGTAGAAGATCAAAGGGTTGAAACATTAAAAAAAAAATCAATGGCTTTGTCATGCCTTTGTTGTTGTTCAGTCATTTTTCATTCATGTCTGACTCTTAATGACCAACCCCATTTGGGTTTTCTTGGTGGAGATACTGGAGGGGTTTGCCATTTCCTTCTCCAACTCATTTTACAGATGAGGAAACTAAGGCAAAACAGGGCTAAGTGACTTGCCCAGGGTCACACAGCTAGTAAGTGTCTGAGGCCAGATTTGAACTCATGAAGACAAGTCTTCCTGACTTAGGCCTGGTACTCTATCTACTGCACCACCTAGCTGCCCCCTGTCATTCCTAAAGCATTAATTACCTATATTATGGCCTAAGATAATGGTATCAAACTCAAATACTAATAAGGCCCACTAAGCCATATGTAAGGATCCCTGTGGGTCACATATTGACTTAGAAAACTATATACTAATATTATCTGTGTTCTGTAGTATCCTATTTATTCTGTTAACTATTTCAAAATTACATTTCAATCTAATTCAGGCTGCACTCAGAAGTGTTGGCGGCCTCATGTTTGACACCTCTGGCCTAAGAGATCAAGTACATTTAGACTAGGTTAATCGCAAAAACAAAAACAAAAACAAAAAACAAAATCAAAAACAAACCCCGCCCCCCCAAAAAAATCCACTATCCCAAAACATAGTTTTTCAATAAATACAAGGAAACAAATGACAATGGACAACAAAAACCTTGTCCTTGGAGAAATCATGATCAATAACAGAGTGGAACAATACCACCCCCTTCCCCCACAAATGATATTATTTTATTTTTATTTAGTGTCTTCATATTTTTTAAGTATTTTGATTAATAGTTACTCATGTTAATATTATTAACAACATCATTTATAATGGTACTTTAAAGTTTACAAAGTGCTTTCCTACAGATAAGGTAAATTGAGCAAGTACAATTATCTCCACTTAACATATAAGGAAACTGAAGATCAGAGAAATTAATTAACTTGTCCATTGGTCACATACCTAGTAAGTATCTGATCCAGGACTTTAAGCCAGGTCTCCTGACTCCAATTCTTTCACTCTTGCCATTACATTACAATGTCCCTCATTTGATTTTTTAAAAAAATAATCGCAGACATACACAAATAACACTTTGAGTTTTATAAAACTCTTCACATACATCATCTCATCTGATCTTTCCAACAAAAAATACTGTTCAAAAAGGTACATCTCTCAAGAGGGAAAAAGAAGAAAAAAATCAGTTGGGTTTAAAGATGATATAATAGCGGCAGATAGATGGTGCAGTGGATAGAGCACAGGCCCTGGAGTCAGGAGGACCTGAGTTCAAACCCAGCCTCAGACCAGACACTTGACACTTACTAGCTATGTGATCCTGGGCAAGTCACTTAACTCCAAATGCCGAGAGAGACAGAGAGAGACAGAGAGAGAGACAGAGAGAGAGAGAGAGAGAGAGAGAGAGAGAGAGAGAGAGAGAGAGAATGATATAATGGTTGGGAGAGTGAGAATAAGAAAAGGAAAAGTTATAGAAATCATTCACTTTTACTGAAAAATAGAACAAAAGCAAAATAGAAAGTCTAAGTGTGCTTGAATTTGCATCTATTATTATTGTATTGTGAAAGTGAGACTTGGAATGATCTTAGTTCAGAATAAGAAATATTCTATTAATTCTAATAATAAAAAGAAATAGCTCACCTGGAGGAACTGAGTAAATTCAGAGTAGGTAAGATGTTTCTTCCTGTTATGCCCAAAATGCAGGCGAATAAATTCACAGTCCCAGTTAAAGGGTATATGATGATGAACAATTGTCTGTCCAAAAATTTCTTTGACATTTTCTTGGGAGGGAAAAAAAAAGTCAATTACATTGAGAATAAACAATAAATCCACCATAATGTTCCTACAGAAGAAAATCAAGAGAAGTTTTAAAAGTCAATATCATCTGCTTCTATTAAGATTAACTGCAAACATTTTTTTTGTCCTCTCAGAAACATGCACAGGAACACAATTGCTACAGAATATAATTTTACACTTAAGATTGTGTACTATTACATATAAGGCCACAAGATTCTTAATTTCTCTTGATTTAATTTTAATTAGGAAGAGATTTATATCTTGCACAGTAAATGGCTGCTACTTTGCATTCAGGTATAAAATCAATAGTGTTTTCCCCGTTCCTCAAGGAGTTGAATTAAGCCCTTTATCAGAGGCATGAATACCTAAATTACAGTATAATGCAATATTTGTCATACTAAGTATGGTTTGATTGAGGCTTGATTATTACATTCACACTAGCCTGAATATGTCTATTGAAGATAGGTATAAGGAATGCCACCAAAAGCATATCATTAGCTCAGCAGCAAGCACCTTATTAAAAGCTTCTGATATTGTCAAAAAAAAAAAATATGGCCTTGACACAAAGCTTCAAAATTCCCATAAAAAGCCATGATTATTAGTCTCAATTATTAAAATGTTTTAAGATAAGTGAAATTAGTGATTCACTTTTAAATAAAGAAGGACTAAACACAGAACAGTTACTCTTAGACAAGAACCAGTCAAGCTGTGTACTGTACAACGAAAACCCTTAAGTCTACTCTGATGGCCTGTCTTCATGCACTAAAAATGTCGTTAACTTTCTTACACAGTTCAACATTTGCAATAAAAGTCAATTCACAATTGACAGATACTTTAATGAGAATAGACTGGGTATTCTAATTTAGAAACTAATGCCCAAAAAAGCAATCATTAACAAGGCTTAGAAAGCAGGAAGCCTGTTTTACTGACATCTTAAGAACCAAAATTATTTCCAAATTAAAGTCAATTTTATTGTGAAAGGCTGGCATGACCAATAACTACCTATTGTAATGAAGAATCTTCAGATACAGACCTATTTTATTTCCCCAGCCAACTTGTACTGTTTCTGGCTCCCCCCAATAACCTCCACTGACTTGACTAAGATGATCTTTGGGTTAGTTAATGGTTGTATAAACTGCTTTCAATGTATACCTTGAATACCTCCTCTTTCCTGATTGAAGCAGAAGAGTTACTAGTAGAATCCTGAACTGGAAATCCTCTTGGTATTGACTTAATATAACCAGTCTTGAACTAAGTCACAGCAATTACCAAGGTTAGAAGAAAGCATTGGATGTCACTGGGGAGATGGGATTCTTTCTCTCTCTCTCTCTCTCTCTCTCTCTCTCTATCTATCTATCTCTTTATCTATCTATCTATCTAATGGAATGCCACATCCATTTCTTGCCCTGAAAGTTTGCAAGATTTTGATTTCTAAAATTATATCACGTGGATTTTCATCACCCTTGACCAGGAATAGGGTTACTATCTCCAAAAGCAAAATCTAAAACCAAGAATAACTTGGAGCCCTAGCCTCTAACATAAAAAGATTATCCTTAAATCTAGAACCCTATTAAATTTCTACTTCAAAGCACATCATAACTCAGCTAGTTAAGTTAAAGAAAATTAAAAGACCTCTTGCAACCCATGAGGGTTAGAAATATTTTAGCAGACCAAAACAAAAGCTATTTGGGCTGGTGGAACTTCCGAATGAGTTAGTTCCATTCTCATGATTAATTCATTTTGATATCTGAAAACAAATGTTCTGGAGTAAAGAACATGAAGGAATTAATGGGGAACAAAAAGGGCTGCTGTTAAATGACTAAACAACAAAATATTAAGATGAATTATTACATAGCCAAAGAATTTGAATAGGGAATATTTAAAGAAGAAATTTCCAGAAACCTCAGTTACTGGTTTGAAAAGTGTATATTTGCTACCTATACTTAATTTTCATTGAACTGTGGGATAAAGCAGACTCTCTTTTATATAATTACAACATTTTAGACTCTCAGAGGAGAAACTGGAATTAAAGAAGCTGGCAGTCATGGATAAAGAAAGCTGTCAATTCAAGAAATTTAAGTGATCCAGTAAAATAAATTTGATTTATTCCCCTCCCCAAAGATGTAATTTATAAAGCAGAATTTCAACTTCAATGGAGACTTAAAAATTAATTGCTGGCAGAAGAAAGCTAATTAGAAAGTACTAGGTAATTAGAAATGTTATTTTTTTTTATAAACTCTCCAGCTATTGCTAGCAAATTCTCAAAATGTCTTTGAAATAGAATATACTAAATGTATTCTAAAATGATGGCTTTGATAACACAAAACAACCTAATTCAACACTTTCACCTTTGGAGAGCTCTCATAGTTATGTGTTTCCAGGTATAGGAATGTCATTTATCATGGATTTTGTTTGACTGCTTCCTACTTCTCCAAGGCAACTTACAGCTTTAAGTGCTCAGTATAAGGTTCTGCTATGCTCATCAGAGTAGAATGTGATCTGTCAACTATCCCCAAAATCTTTTAAATGGATATCTTTGACCTACTTATGGTATTCAATTTTTGTTGCTGGGGCTGGGTAACAATTTTTTACCTACTTGAGCACCTTAGATATTTTTCCTTTTTTCTAACCAATTTTTCCCTATTGCAGATTTCCTAATACATGCTTAATATAAGATTGATTAAAGCTACACTACAGAATTAATTAGTGGATTGTGAATCATTTATCTGATTGGTGGCTTAAAAGTCTAACTCTTATTCATCACTTAACCATTACCAGGATCCTCTTATAAAAACCATACAAAGGCTCCAGAACTGGGGAGTAATTCACAGGAGGCAGCTCTCGTGTGTGTATCTCTCTCCCCCCTTTCTTTTCTTGACTGGATTACACTCCTGTGATGCATTATCTCAAGCAGCTGGCTTTCTTCTTATCTTATCCAGTTTTATTAGGTCCTGTGTGACATGAAAGGGAACACCAATAATCTCAAATACACCCAATGCAACTGACTAAAAGAACACAGCAAGGTCTGTCCAAGAGAGAATCCCGTCTTTCCAGGGGCAAACAAGAGTCTAAGTGGTCACTACCTGTACTGCTGTTTTAAGTGACCATAGTTCTGGACTAAATGTAAGTGATATGATGGTCAACATCCCATGATTAAGTCATGAAGACCATGGGTTGAAGTAGTGGGTTGTTTTTTTGTTTTTGTTTTGTTTTTTTACAATAGGCTGACATTGTTAATAGGAGCAGGAATCAATATAAATAAGCAGAAAGAGAAATGCTAAAACTTTCTGACACAACACTATCAATAAACCAACCTCTCACTTCCTGCAGAATTTGGCTTAAGAAATACTATTTATAATTTCCTTTGATTTGGACAATCAAGCCAAACATATAAGTGAGATAGAACAATGCTCTCTCTGATGGTATGAGAGGCAGTATATTGATTTGGCAGGAGGGGAAAAGGGGTAGAGACCAGGAAAAACTGTGTTTTGGAGAAAATTTCCACAGGCAGAACATTAGTGATTTGAGCTGTGTTAGTCACATATGACTAATGCAATAGTTGATTACATGATAAAGTATATTATAGCACATATGATGTAAATGTATTTTAATGGCGGTTTCCAATTTCCCCATCAGCCCAACTGCTATCACCCATATCATCCACCCTCATCCCACCCCTTTTTCCTTAGAGGAGCCTCCTACTAATCTTGTTCACCTTTCTGCAGTACAAAATTACCTCTGACCGGGGCTGGCACTCTTCTCCAAGACTGCCACCATGCCTGCTCCATGAATGAGCCTGGAAGGAGCTGCTGTACCAACGCTGTGGCCAGAGAACTCCTCCTGTAGGTATACAAGCCATCAGCCCTGTGACACAACCCACCTACCATCAGCCCAAAGAACGAGATGTCCGAGGTCATATTTATTCCAAGGATTCCAGCCCAGGAGCCAAGGCTTCCAAATTATAGGCTAGAGACCAAACAGTTTTTTGTTTTTTTACTTTCAGAAAAATATACATACACACACATATACACACGTGTATATATGTATTATCTGAGTAGCTGAGTTCCACCTTGAGCATCTTAAAAAGGTCTTTTGAGAACTTCCACATATGTAAGAATATATTGAATATCCTTGTATACAACTAGAAAAAAGAAATGGTGAGACTTATGGAACCTAGATTTTCAGAAATTTAATGGTTGAGGAAAAAGAGGCTGGTGGGGCGGAAACCTAGAACTTACAGAGGCAGAAAGACATAACACTAGCCTGAAGGATCAGATACCTGAGTTCTGCTCCCAAGGATATCATTAGTTCAGCTAGAACAGATCACTACAACCTTCTGTGTCTCCCTGGGTGAGGGAAGCAGAAGAGACATTTTTAATTGCCCATTACCTACCTTAAGAAAGAAATGATGTGAGGATTTGTCAATGACAGCAAAGCATTCTCAACTCTAACCAATCTATGTGCCATTTCACCTCTGAGATAATACTTCATTTAAACAGCATCTGTCACTTTAGAAACCAGATGCTTTAACAAGTATATGTGTTTTATCATAAAACACCATTAGAAGAAAATAATACCTGATCCCCCCTTGCCTCAAATTTCAAGCTACTATAGGACCTAGCTTTGAGGATTATACATGGCCTACTCAGGAATGGCTAAAGGCTGCCAAGAAGAAATTCTACTTCTCTCCTTGAATGGGGTCATAGGTGTGCTCAGCTGCAGCTCCAAAAGAAAGGCATTCCATAACATCACACCTTTTGTTTTACCTCATGTTTAGTCAGTTACTCAATTCCTGTCAGAACTGTGTATTCTTCCAGGTCAGAATTTCTGGTTCTACTCATTAGAGGTGTAGCTGCTACGTTATAAGGTATATGCTGCATCCTACCAGGCCCTTTATGGAAACTGCAGATATAATAGTTATCTGTTTAAACTGCCTCACTCAGGCCTTCCCATTGGGAAAAAAGGCAGAGCTTTCTAGGTAGGTAGAAATAAAAAAGAAAACCCAAAATTGTATTTTAAACTACTGTGCCCTAAACCACAAAATGAATGACCAAATGGAACCCCTCCTTCTAGAGAGCACTACTTTCAGGGGAGAGGATGTTTTCTTCAAAAAGATCATTTGGACAGTTCTTTCAAAAAAAATATTTTCAAATAACTAAAATTCTCCAAATATTTCCTGTGTAAAACTCCCAGTTCTTTGGAATTAAAATATTTTCTGTGGATGAGAATTTATAGAGAGAACATAGCACTTTCAAAGTGTCTTGCATTCATCTTATTAGTAAATAGGTAGGACTTCAGTTACGAATGCTTCACTGTTGAGGCAATACACATTTTGGCTAAATTCATTACTGATAACCATTGCACCTTATAGCATAATTGCTAATCCAGGACATGTCAATCAATTCTATTGAGCAGAAGTAGGTAGTTTTGATGTGAGTTATACAACAAACTGTCATGCATTGTCTAGCAAACTCAGTGGGCAAGCGCTCAGGCTACTAGAAGGACAGCAGTTATAAAAGTCATCAAGCAGTTATCCACAGCTTGCAATGTTAGAAGTTTTGCTGAGGGAACATATCAAGGAGAAAGGATGAAATCATTACCACATTCACACATCACATTCACACTTAAGAAGTCCATGGAGTCTTGTGCTACTCTAGGAAATAGTTAGAAATAGACTACAAAGACTTCTCTGTAAGGCTGGCCTCTCCCCCAAAGGTGAGCACCTCTAGCAATGCAGTACATCCCTCCCCAAAGTACTATATAGAACCAGACCCCAATTAATGGGCAATGATAAAAGTATGGATTGTGTGGTAGGATTTTTTTTAAATAACTCAATATTTTGGCTCAAAAGCATGGTATATCAAATGAGAACAAAGGCTATAAAAAGCTAGTACAGCTTAGCCATCTTTATGTAACGTATATACAAACACAACTATCTATACGTATACTAGCCAAGGTACATATGTCTTAGATGTACAATAATTATATATATAATATATATATAATATATATATACACACATATATATGTTATATATATATATACACACATATATATATAAAGGCAGATCTATTTTTTTAAAGAATACAGATGAAAACCAAGTGCTCAAGTACATTTATGTAATGCTATCATTATCAACATGAGGTACCAAGGACCAAAGAGTTTCTCCTATTCTATCCCCACTCTTCATTCTCCCTCTCTACCCCTGACCTATATCCTTTTTCTCCCACAAACAAAAAGAGAGAGAGAGAAATAAATTGTATGAGCAAGTGCCAACCTATAAAACCTTCTGCATGAATTGTGGTAGGATTCAGATGGGTTTAAAATTTCCTTAGATATAAACATATGCATGATGGATAAGCACAATAATATCTTTTACCTTTCTTTGTATCCTCAGCACTTACCACAGTGCCTGGCACATAATAGATGCTTAACAACCATCTATTGACTGTCTGACTGTTATTCCCTTTAGTAAAATAAATGTGAAACATAGATGAAAAATCTCATTACAACCAAGTACAAGCAAATACATAAATCAGGAATTCTCAAACTTTTTGGTCTCAGGACCCCATTTATAGTTAAAAAATTATTGAGGACTACCCCCCCTTCCCAAAGAGCTTTTATACAGGTTACGTCTATTGATGTCTACCATATTAGAAATTAAAATGACTTAATATTATGACCCCCTGAAAAAGTCTCTGGGATCTCTGAGAATACCAAATCACACTCTGAGAACCAGTCGTCTAAATTCTTCTATTGGAAATCATCAGTTCTCAGAAAGCTTGTTACCACCTCAATGAAAATATCTGTGTATTTGTCACAATTTATAATACTAAACTTTGAATTTGTGATAAGAATGATGCTGCTTCAGGGAATCAAATTCAAAATTATTCTCTTATAGTACCTCATTTATTAAGCTTTTAAACTGAAATTTCCATGTACTTAAGATCAGAAAAATGTTTTGTTTTGTGTATATAAAGCAGGGAAACATTGGATGAACCTAGGAAATGGTAACACTCAAAGATATCAACTACTGGCCAGTAAGATCAAATAATTGTGTTGGAACCAGGGTCACAATATAGCAAGATAGAACTATCTTCGCTCCGTGTTCCCTAAGAATCCTCCCATTCCACAATTATGAGACCTAAAAATGAAAAGAAAATAGGATGCCACAGGGGTAACAGTATGTATTGAGCAATCCAAAATGCTTAAATGCTTTCTCTCTCTGCCAGAAGCTATAGATACTACATTTGGATTCAATTTAATTTTAATCCTTACTTTTAAATCTTACTCTGTTAAAATTAGAAGCACAGGAAAGAATAGCTAGGCACACTGTGCCATATTATAGTTTGAGGGGATGTATTAAATTTTAAAATGAGGCCGTTTGCAGGAAGATGCAAGAATTGCAGCCATATATCACAAGCTCCTAAAATAGTGCCTCACACCTAGTAAACACTCAATAAATATTTGTGAAACTGAATTGGCATCAAGAAACTGCTCAGCTGCTTCCTCCACTGGTTACAAATCTAATCATTTGAGCTATGGCAATTTCTTGGGCCTGTGTTAAGAGCCTGCTGGGATCAACTGACTCAAGTGCTTTGTTTTTCAAATGGAAGGTTGAGAGAAACAATAAGATGGGAGGCAAAAGAAACAAAGAACCACTATGTCAGGATGGGAAGGGTGAAAGAAGACAACCTTGCACAGGTTTTCAGGAATTCTAATACCTAAACAAGAGGCAAATGGTTTAAATAGAGGCCCCTCTCACCAATTCTGAAATATTGTTCCAACTACTTTTGAGGCACTATTGTTCCAGACTTGCTGGAACACAGGATTTTATGTGATACCTACAGAGGAGAAGACAGAAAATGCGGCATTATTAATGCGTGCAGGTTTAAGGCTGAATGGACAGTGGGCAGAGGCTTTGTTTGTGCTTTTTACTAGCTGCAGGAGAAAGGTGTTCCTAAAGCAAGTTAATATTTTTCATGAGACAGAAAGGCCAAAGACTGCTACAAAGCAAAAGAAAATATGTGTCTCTAAGAGGCATGGAATGTTCTCAAATTACTTATCTTAATATTTCCGTATTTATTTATCAGGAAAGATCTTTGATATACACAAAATTCAAATGGCTTAAGAGAAAGAACACTTAGAGACAAGGCAAAATGTATAATTATAGGCTTACCAACCAGGCTCAGCAGCTCTCCCCCAAATGCCCTATACTTTCTCATCCTTCTTATGGTGATAGTAAACCTCTAAAACTAGAGGCAATTTAACTTTGTGCTTATCATAAGGAGATTGACTTGATTTGTTTAATCGACAAAATACCACAGTGAATATTTTGCACATGTGGCTCAGAAATGGCCTCATCCTTTTTAAAAATGGTGCCAAAGCCACAACAAATAAGAAGTTACAAATTCAAGAAAATAAATACACTTATCTTTATTGAATAGTTTTATTCTGCTGCATGAAACCACTGAGGTACCATACTTCACAGTCCATTAGAAAAAAAAACCCAACTACTCTTTATACTATACACATGTATAGTATAAATCTATATATCTTTGTAACTATACATATACTAAAATTTTTCAAATGCTGAAACATTGTTACAAGTCTTTATCCTGGTTTGTGTGCTGAGAAACCATATACTCCTACTGAGGGAATAAAATCAATTTCTATATCCAACATAAAATAACAATTATCATGTTGGTCTTACTTTTAAGACAAAAAGCTAAAATTGGGGTGTACAGAGGGCCAATTAGACCTTGATTCACTTTCTCACTCCACACCCCATTCTTCTCTTTTCAAATAGCAAAGTAACAATTTTCCAGTGATGCTACATAAAAGTCCTGAACTTCTTACCCAGAAATCCCTTAAAGAATGGAGAGGATTACTCCATGCAGTTCATGCTCTATTTCATAAAGAATTTTGCCCAGGCTGGCCCAGAGCAAGAAAATTTTGTAGCACCTATTTTAGGAATGTGAAAGTGTCAGTGATTCAATGAACTGAAGTAATTACATTCCTGGATTCCTTAATCTTTTGTGACAGTCTAATGCTTTGAAGAAAAGAAAATAGATTTTCTATTTTATCTGTATAAATCCTTTTAGGAAATTAGCAATGTACTTAATGACTGAGGTCCTAAATAGACAGCAATATATATCCACTGGTGGGCACTGGAGTTAAAGACTGGACCAACTTCACTACTTAGTTCTTAAGAGACATTTTTCTTTCTCTTTCTCTCTCTCTTTCCTCTTTTTTTCTTTTCTTTCTTTTTTTTTTGTCTTGAAATATCCTTACCAAATGTCACCTCTCCACTTCCACTCTTGTCAAACAATTGGAAAGCTACTATGAACATAGCATCTGGGGCACACAAAACAGATTCAAATGCCAAAAACTCTTGATAGGAGATCAACCTAAAATAAAATATAAAAAAACTGTCAGGTTTCTAGAGACTTTGTAAGGGCAGCAGCACTTATAGGTGGGGAACAGCTGCTTGAAACTATACTCACTGAACTGATAAGGCACATAAAGCATAATTGTCCTCCCTAACCAGCTTGCTGCAAAAGTCTAATGGACACTTGTACACTTGAGATTCCTAAGGAGTGGCATTACAGTAACGTTATGCATAACATTTCTCATCCTTCTTATGGTTTAACGTTATGCATAATGTGCATATATTCACATGTTGAGTTTGGTATGCTTGTATTTTTTCTTCTTCAAATTATCATCTTTTAGAAGCTGTATGCAAAATTTGGTAGCAATGTCCACAATTTGATATGGATTATGAATCACTGATACTTTTTTTGATAAATATGTAAGCTAAGCTGCTTAGGAAAAATCTCTGCCCAGATGAAGGAAAAAGATTTCCTGAAAAAGAGAAAATATAGGCAATTTTTAAGTACTGCCTTTAGAAATAATACAAATATTTAAAAAACAAATGTTTCCCTCCTCCCTCCAATGTAATGTGAACACTTAATTAACTATAACCCCTAATTGGGAAAATTTCCCAGTAGAATATAAAATGAATATTGTAATTCAAAGGATTATTGTGGGTGGGGAGAGGCAGGGAAAAGGAAGTCAAGGGGACATAGAAGCAAAAAATTCCACAAGAAGTTAGTAAAGAAAAAATGTGCTTTAAGATTTTACATTTTATATTAATTCTAAGCCCAATTCAGGTTAAAAAAATTGTGAAGTTCTATATTTATTGGAATAACTTAAGTAAATAAATTAAATAAATAAAATAGAAATAAAAAAACAAAAATAAATAAAACTTAAATAAAACAAATATCTACCACATAAATGCAATATAATCTGCTCTATATTATATAACCGAAGTATTATATAGTGCTTCTGTGGTGCTTGCTCAGAAAGCAGTTCTATAAAGTGTTGCTCCATAAATGAATGAGAATGACCCAATTCTTCTACACAGGGCCTGCTTCACCATGCTGCTTAACTTTCTGTTAAACAAGTAACTAAAAATCCCATCAGAGTCTAGGATAAAAATGCCCAGTCTTCAAGTAAAGGATGGGTTTGGCCACATAACAACATGGAATCCTAAAAGGCACTCACAAAATATTTACTGAGTACATTGGCTAATTTGTAGTAGTGGAAGAAGTTTCTATACCATGAGTTCCCTACACCTCTCCTCTTCTCGACCACCCCCCCCAAAAAAGTGCTAAAGCATCTCTACAATATATGAATTCATCTTAAATGAATCCTAGGTCTATGATGACAGGTTAGTCTAATGGGACAAATGAAGCTACATAACTTTATAAGATTGGAGTCTCAGAGATGACCTAATCCAACCATCTCATTTTATAGATGAGGAAACTGAGGGCCAGAGAGTTTAAATTATTTGCCCAAGGTCATAAATGTAAATATAAATGGCAGAGTCAGGATCCAAAACCAGATCCTCTGACCCCAAACCCAGTGAGTGTTCTTTCTACTGTAGCATATTGCCTTCCTCAATCTCATTACTATCACTCAGAAAATCTTAAAAAATGAATGGTTTAAATGAATGAATTAATATGCACATAAAATCATTGCCGTTGCCACAGTAGTATATATACATGTTATTTTAAAACAAGTAGAGGCTGAACAGATTATAAATGAAATGCCAAGATCATATTTCCCCAGAAGTGACAACATCATTTAAAAGTATCAGTTATAGGTGCAACCATCTACTGTGATAGAAATAAAACAGTATTAAAAAGCATGTTATATCTGCTAATCACATTTCCTACTACTTAGGAAACAATTCATGTTTATGAATTCTTAAACTGATTCTCAAGATCTTTCAAAGGAGGGATAATTTTAAAAGAATGAAAGATCAAAGATGGTGTTTTTATTGAAGGAAAATAAAGGTAACTGAAGAGGCATTAGTAACTGCCTACTCATATGACTTTCTCTTTTTGATGTTGGGTTTGTTTGGTTTTTTGGTTCTAAACACAACACCAAAAAACATTTTTCCATGTACAAAGTAGGACAGAAAAAGAGGACTGCACACGAAGTTGCAAATCTGTATTTGGTACAGATTGCTTTTCTTTTTAAAGATAGGATAAAATCAACATGTTATAGTCAAAGCTGTCTTACTTGTCTGCATTTCCTACTGACCTTCCTTTTCTTTTGTGTATTTAAAAAATATTTTTCAATGATCTTTTTTTTACTTTTTTTTTTCACTTTGCTACTGCTGGTTCTAACCACCCCCCCTCCAAAAAAAAGAAGGAAAGAAAAACAAAACCCTTATATCAAATGTATTCAACCAAGTAAAACAAATCCCCAGCAACAGCACTTCTAGGGCTGTATCCCAAAGAGATCAAACAAATGGGAAAAGGACCCACATGTACAAAAATATTTATAGCAGCTCTTTTTGTGGTGGAAAAGAACTGGAAATTGAGGGGATGCCCATCAATTGGGGAATAGCTGAACGAGTTATGGTATATGAATGTAATGGAATACTATTGTGCTATAAGAAATGATGAGCAAGCAGACACCAGAAAAACCTGGAAAGACTTGTATGGACTGATGCTGAGTGAAGTGAGTAGAACCAGGAGAACATTGTACATAGTAACAGCCACGTTGTGTGATGACTAACATTGATAGACTTAGCCTTTCTCAGCAATGCAAGGATCTAAGACATCTCCAAAGGTCTCATGATGGAAAATGCTATCCACCTCCAAAGAAAGAACTATGGAGTTTGAATGCAGATTGAAGCATACTATTTGTTATTTTTTTTTCTTCTGTTGTGCTTTGTTTCCTTTTTCTGGTGGTTCCTCCTATTGGTTCTAATTCTTCCTTACAACATCACTAATGTGAAAATATGTTTGATAGGAATGTGTATGTATAGCCTATATCAGATTGCATGCCATCTTGAGGAGGGAGGTGGGGCCGAGAGGGGAGAAAAATTTTAAACTCAAAAGCTTATGGAAGTGATTGTTGATAAATCAAAATAAATTAATAAAAAAGATAGGATAAAATCAACATGTTATAGTCAAAGCTGTCTGACTTGTCTGCATTTCCTATTGACCTTCCTTTTCTTCTGTGTATTTAAAAAATATTTTTCAAATTTTCTTTTTCTTTACTTTGTTATTGCTGGTTCTACCCCCCAAAAAATGAAGGAAAGAAAAACAAAACCCTCATATCAAATGTATTCAACCAAGGAAAACAAATCCTAACATCAGTTGTGTCAAAAAATGTATATCTCTTTATTTGCCTACTACCTACTACAGTTTTACAACGTTGGGAATAGGCAGAGTGTGTCAAGGTCATACTTGACAAAAAGGTAGCTTTCACAGATGATTCTTAACATCTTTGCAATCATATAACTGATAGAATTAAAAGCTAGTAAGATCCCACTGCGCTGACTAATTATATGAAAGCATTTGACTTAGTAGAACAAAAAGCAGGCTATAAGGCAACAAGATATACATCCAAGTGAGTACACATATGTCAAAGTCATAAGGCTCCATAAGAAACGAGGTTAAAGAAAAAGCATTAATGACATTGAGAGAGAGAGAGATGAGAGATCCATTGGCCCAAGGTTGTTACTAATGTCATGATACTTTATTGATGATGAAGTTCTTCAAGTTCTATTTGGAGATATCAAATTAATCTCATTAACTCCCAGAATATTACAAACCCTCCTTAGATAAAGAGTAATGTGAAAGATCAATCTAACTGCTCACAGAGAGAAAACAAAGTGAATTAGTTCATGAATACAAGTATTTTGAATTGGTACTACAGACAGGCAATAAACTGGGCCCAGAACTGGGAAGAAGATTGGGCTGGCTTTCACTTATTAGTACTCAGTGTTTTCAATGATACCAAACTCTGCTGCAACAAAAGTTACACTCCATATTCTCCCTGTGATGCTACATGGATGTGAATCGTCAAACATGAGGATCTTAGCAGAATGCAAGTTACAACCAAAGATTTACATGTATGATGTAATATAAACAACATTACATAGGATATATACAACCTGAAAAGTGGGAGATGAGTCACAAAGTCAGAATGAGAGACAAAAAATGAATACTGAGCCATATATTGGTGCCTTTGAGATTCTAAGTGAAAAATGGAAAGTTTTGGAGGCAGTGGGTATATATTCTACAGAGAATTTATAGACAATCAACTACAAGAATCATAGGATGAAAAGATAGGAGTTGGGCTATGCATGGAAAGAGGGAGTATACACATAGGTAAAAATCACAGGACAAAATTGTCAAAGACTGAAAGTCAGACCAAAAGCCTGGTCTTTACTTGGATTCCATACGAAACAGCCCTACTACATTCCAAAAGTATCACCTGCATAAGAAAAGGTATTAAATGATATAAAAGGGAAGGGGTGGGTGATGGGTGGGAAACATTATATAGTGCCTACTACATTCCAGGCACTGTGCTAAGAACTTTATAAATATTATCTCTTTTATCCTCACAACAACCTTGTGAGGTAGGTGCTGTTATTATACTTATTTTTCAGTTGAGGAAACTAAGGCAAACAGAGGTGAAGTGACTTGCCCAAGCTGGATTTTAACTCTATCTGACTCCCTACCTGACTAGGCAGTTAGGTGGCACAGTGGATAGAGCACCACACCTGGAGTCAGGAAGTCCTGAATTCAAATCAAATTGTGTGTGTATGGCTCTTGTATAACAGCTATAAAATTTATATATCACAGGGCAGCTAGGTGGTGCAATAGATAGAGCACTGGCCCTGAAGTCAGGAGGACCTGAGTTGAAATACGGCCTCAGACCAAACACTTGACACTTACTAGCTGTGTGACCCTGGGCAAGTCACTTAACCACAATTGCCTAAAAATAAAATAAAATTTATATCACTTACTTGGGGAGGAGGCATTAGATCTTCATTAAATTGAACCTGGGGGACCTGGGGAAAACATTTTTGCCAACTTGTTGA